CGCCGTGAGCGTCGACAGACCGCATGAAGTCGAAATGCGGGAGATGACATCGAAAACCGCGAAAATCCTCGCTTTATATTGGATTGTAGAACGGATTTCCTGAAGGAGTAATTAGGCGGGTCAGGCAGGACTGGCCTGTATGTGGGCTTTAATAAAAGGTTCGAAGCGGGTGTCATCAAGGCGGAATTCATATGCCGGATGAGGCCATTCATGACAAAATAGCGAATTGAAAACCAGTCTCGAGGCGATAGAAACCCAAATATGATCGGGTACATTCGTCCGAGTCCATTCGAGGATGGGGCAAGGGAGATGCGACCAGACGACTAGTATATGGCGAACACAGAAGGCTTCGCAAATTTGAAAAGACCAGTGAAAGTTATATTTTTGAAATCGATTCCTTAATCTCTTGCACAGTTTTCAAGTATAGGTCTGACAAAATTTCCTATATTTTGTAATAAGTCATCTTAGCTTCCCGTCGTGTTCACTAACGGCACCTCCCCTTTATCTTTGGATTTATATCATGACCATTTTGCAAGCGATCATGCATTAATCCATTATTGCCTTCCAATTGTAATTTCCACAAAACCAACATTACGACGTAGCATTTTTGACTTTGCTAATATTAACCAGGAATTTGTAAACAGCTTTACAGGCACTCTTGATTGGCACAATATTTTTTCAAGTAACGACCTACATTTTTTCAACAATTTATTACAATGCGAAACAGAAGGTCTTCTCGAACTAATTGCAAGGAAAATGTTTATATCGAGTGCCACTTCCACCGCTGTCCCACGCTTTCTCAAAAACAGACTTACAAAGATGCGAAGGCAGCTTAGGATCCTTCGGTGTGCTCATTATCAGCTAATCTAAGAATCGTCGAAATATTTGAATTAGCTTCGAAAACGAGCCTTGCGCGCGGTAGGCGTTGAGAGTCTTTAGCTATTAATGACATGAATGCTTCTATATCAGTTGCTCAGATCTTCCGTCAAAGATCATCTGCTAAGTCCCACCAAGTCATTCCGCCTTTGCTAAGTACTAGCGATGCCTTCATTACAGAGGAGTCAGGCAAAGCAGAAATTTTAAATTCGTTCTTTGCCAAACATTTCACCATTGAAACTGACCCAATCCCTTTAATTCCTTCATTGTCTGATGCTTCTATCAGCATCATTAATCTTTCTCCTGAATGTACTCAAAAACTGATAAACCTCCTTCTTAACTCTCACTCAGTAGATACGGACAATATCCCAAACTCTCTTATAAAACAGCCACGACATTTTACTCTTCTGCTTAGTAAACTCTTTTCAGTATTCATCGAAAGTGGCTTCTTTCCTGAATATTGGGAAACTTCTATTATTATTCCAGTATTTAAGTCTGGCTGTCGTTCTGACGTACAGAACTATCGAGGTGTCCATAAAACACCCTCTCTCGCCAAAATCTTTTAAAAAATTATCGCCGTAAAAATTACCGAATTTTGCATAGCCAATCAAGTTCTTAGCCCTTCCCAGCATGCTTTTTTACCAGATCGCTCTTGTGAAACATATCATCTGTCGTTTCTCAATCTACTTACCTCTCATCGTAATGATCACCTATATGTTGTCGTTATTTATTTTGATCTAAGTAAAGCCTTTGATAAAGTACCACATAAAAGACTCTTGGTTAAATTGGAAGCTATGGGAATTCGCAGTTCACTAATAGACTTTCTCAGGTCATACCTGTCTAATCGTAAACAAAAGGTTTTGGTGGGATATTCACTTTCCAGTGAAAGTCCTATTGTAAGCGGTGTCCTACAAGGCACCGTTTTAGGTCCTATTTTGTTCTTGCTTTACATTAATGATATCTTGGTAGCAGTTAAACATTCTCAATCATTTATCTATGTCGATGATATCAAATGTCTATATTCTTTCGAAAAAGCTACGAGCCTTCATTGCCTGGAGCAAATCCATGCTGACTTGCTTGCTCTCTCAGCTTGGAGCTCAAAATGGCTAATGGAATTCTCTGCGCCTAAATGTCGCTATATGTGTTTTGGACCTGAGAGGCTACCCCAACCAGTGGTCTTTCAAGGCAC